TGCCATGTCCTGTACAGCCCCTGTGGCACCGTGTCCTGTACATTCTGTGTCACACTGTGCCCTGTCCAGCCCGTGTAACGTGTCCTGTGCAGTCCCCATGTGCCACACCCTGTACAGCCCATGGAACTCTGTGTCCTGTCCTTCCCGTGCATTCCTTGTGCTCTGTGTCCTGTCCTGTCCAGCCCATGTACCCCATCTACTCCATGTCCTGTCCTGTCCAGCCCACGTGTTTATTGTACTCCCTGTGCTGTCCATCCCCTGTGCTCTGTGTCCTGTCCATGTGTTTAATGTACTCCTTGTGCTGTCCATCACATTCATCCCCTGTACTCTGTGTCCTGTCCAGCCTTTGTGTTCCATGTACTCAGTGTCCTTTCTATCCTGTCTCCCCTGTCCTACTGTTTCCATCCCCTGTCCATCTCCTGTCCCCCTGTCCCCCTGTTCTGTCCATCCCCTGTCCTCCTGTCCCCCTATCCTGTCCATCTCCTGTCCATTCCCTGTCCATCCCCTGTCCCCCTGTCCCCCTGTTCCCCTGTCACCCTGTCCTGTCCATCTCCTGTTCCCCTGTCCCCTGTTCCCCTGTCCCCCTGTCGTGTCCATCCCCTGTCCCCCTGTCCTGTCCATCCCCTGTCCCCTGTCCCTCTGTCCCCCTGTCCATCCCCTGTCCTGTCTCCTGTTCCAGCAGCACAGGGCTGACTCCCAAGGTGACAGCACAGCGGGGCTTTGCTCCTGCAGTCCCACAGCACAGGGGGCCTGTGGAGGAAAAAGGGCACTGCAGTCCAGACTCCGAGGTGTCACTGGGAATTTGAGGTGGCACAAGTATTAATTTTTAACAGTCTGTATTCTCAGTGTTGTAGTATCCTTTCCTTTCGCACCACCAACTTCTTGGGCTCTCCAGAGGTTTTCAAGGAACAAGTAGTGTAAAATTGAAAGATCACGTTGCAACTTTGTATAAAAATAATCTTGCAAAACAAAGGCCTTTTTTTTTTCCTTTGGCTTGGGACTTTTGAGACAATTCCTAACATACYTGTAATTCTTGCTTTTATAATTTGTGTTAGCAGAGACTCTGACGCGTTGGAAATGTAGATTTAATGTGCACTCCTGTGCTTTCTGCCAAGTGGTCATTCACTTTGGAGTTTTACTATGTTCAACCTGTAAATACAGCAGAACGTCAATAAATGTCACTTCTGTAGCAATTGTTGCTGTAGGACAGTGTTTAATTGAGTTTTGAAGTGTTATTGCACCTGATTATCAATGACTAACACAGATTATCTGGGAGAATTCCATCACTTTCCATGGAAGGCATAACACAAATCTCCAAGGTGTCCATCTTTTTGCAATGCCAGCCTGTCAGGAAATGATGATTCCATTTTGGGGGCCTTGCTGGATTTTTTTTGTCGTTTCATGACTTACCTGCCCTGTGAAATTGTGGTTTTGGTTCACAGCTGAACTTCTCTAATGTACAGTCCCCCCAAACAAGCAGTTGGGGCTGACAGAGATGGATAGAGGTTCCACAGATTCCTCTTTAAACAGGAATAAATGAACACAGAATTAGGWATTTTGTCCTACAAGGCAAAATCTGCAGCATTGGGAAACTCTGAATCACATTTGCCCAAACTTGGTCGATCAGCCTCRTGTTTGCTCTCCTGGCATCTGGGCCTTATTTGGGCTTGGATATTCAGAGAACTGGAATATTTGGCATTCTTGTTCCTCCTCCTCC